ATGTATCATCATCTAATATTGAATATCAATAAGAATTATTTTAGTTCAAATAACAATATTCGATTTATCTATATTTAGAATAATTATTTAAAATTCGAATTTTTCAAGAAAAAAAAATAAAATTAATATTTATTGGTAATCATTACAGGGTGTTTCGTAAGTTTTGAGACTTGACAAAAATTAATAAATATGCAAACAAAATGTGATTTCGGACCAAAGGTATTTATATAAAGTTTGAGTACTCCTGACGGCCTTTCAAATGATGTATCATTAGATGAGATCTCATTTTGTAACAATAAAGATATACAAATGAGAATGTTGAGATAAATTTTTCCAAATCGATCAACAAGATATTTTATTAAAAAAAGGAAAACATTCTTGCTTATTAAAAAAAAAACACACTGATTTAATAGATAAAATGTAGTTTAACTATCATGTATCTGTTCCTCGTTAGCTTTTATCACTTCACCAAGTCTGATACAAATTTTATCAATCATTTTTCTACAATCATCACAAGTTATTTTTTCCATTCTTTGTTCAGTCTAGTTTTTAAGTGCTCAAAACTCGCAAATTGTTCTCCCCGTAGTTTTTCTTTAAAATTTCCCACACGTTCTCAATCGGCCAGACATCGGCAAAAATTGCTGATAAAAAATAATTCGCTCTGCACTTGGTACGCTGTTTTGTGTTACGCACATCATATGTTCATATATTTTATCCAATTCATCACAGTCACTGAGGGATAAAATAATAAATGAGCTCGGAAAAAAGAGATATTTGAGCTCGGTGTGTTTAATTGGCTTTAAAATTAGAGAAATGAGCTCGGTTGTAATAAAATTATATTTTTTTATATAAATGAAAGTTTTGAGCTCGGAAATTAATTTATATTCTGAAAAGATACAAATGAGCTCGGTTAATTTTATTTTTGTCGTTAAAAAGAGAGAAATGAGCTCGATAATTAATTTATGAAAATTAATTAATGATTTTGTCAGTGGCAAAGTATATTTAATACGAAAAAACTAGTTCAAGAACAAAAAAAATGCTAGGTTACAATACATTTTTACTAATATTCAGTCTTGAGGGTGTGGGTGTAGGTGTGAGTGGGTGTGGAAGTGTGTGTAGGTGTGCGTATGGGTGTTCGTGTCTGTATCGGTCTAGATGATTCAGTAAGAATAACCTACCTCGACATCCACCCGCAATCCCACCCACACCCACTGACAAAATCATTAATTAATTTTCATAAATTAATTACCGAGCTCATTTGTATCTTTTCAGAATATAAATTAATTTTCGAGCTCAAAACTCTCATTTATATAAAAAAATATATAATTTTATTACAACCGAGCTCATTTCTCTAATTTTAAAGCCAATTAAACACACCGAGCTCAAATATCTCTTTTTCCGAGCTCATTTAATTTCGCGTCCGTCACTGAGCGTATAGCTTAATTGAACATGTGATCAATTATTCATGACTGGTGGTGAATAAATGATTGAGATAAATAGTTACTGGTCCTGTCCCACTGTTATTTATGTAAGATAAATATAGTACTTTATTTGAAAATCTTTAAAAAAATCGTGTTGGTCGATTTGGAAAAATTTATCTCAACATTCTCATTTGTATATCTTTATTATTACAAAATGAGATCTCATCTAATCATACATCATTTGAAAGGCCGCCAGGCGTACTCAAACTTTATATAAATACCTTTGGTCCGAAATCACTTTTTGTTTGCATATTTATTAATTTTTGTCAAGCCTCAAAACTTATGAAACACCCTGTATTATATATTATACATATTAAAATAAACTACTATCGACGGCAAAATACGATGAACGCGAGTATTTTTTGAATATCTCGAGAACGGAAACAGCTATCAACCTGCGGTTTTCAGCATTTGAAACACAAATGTGGGGGAAATAAACTGATACCAAACCCATTAGGATCGCAGGATTTTTTAGGGTCACTGGAAACCTGGACTTAAGTCGGACTTTGGCGATCCAAAATTTTTCAATAAGTTTTCGAGTTTTAGACATGGATTATATCGAGGATATGCTTCTCTTCATTTCCTGTAAGTTTGAGGATTT